AATACCTCACATATTTGTAGGATATCCTTGTAACACAAAAGGGTATAAAGTTCTAGACCTAAGCACCAAGAAGATACATATTTCCAGAGATGCGACATTCCATGAAAATGCTTTTTCTTTTGCATTGTCTGAGTGTAATTCTAGTTTTAGTACTGTATTAAGAGCCTTACATGTAGATCCACACATGTTAAAATCTATTGACAACATTTTTAATAAAGTATCAATGATGGATGATGATGTTCCTTTTAATGTCACTAACAATAATATGCCTGAACAATCATTGGCTCCTGATCTTTTATTGGCCCCTGATCTACCATTAGATAACCAAATTTCAAACACCATCATTCAAATACCAACAGATAACCAAATTCCAAACACCATCACTCAACCTCCAAATAAATCTTTAAACCTCAGAAGATCTAGTAGATCACATAAAATTCCTACTTACTTGAAGGAATACACTTACACATTATATTCTTTACAACATCAATCATCAACTCCATCTTCTCATATTGTACTTTCTTTATCTTGTTTATCCCTCACAAGTTCCAATCAAAATTATCAACCTTTGGTTAAAGGTATACTTCATGACAATGAACCATGTTCATATGAGGAGGTAGCACATGATCCTACATGGCAAGCAGCAATGACATCAGAATTTGAGGCATTGTATGCTAATAATACTTGGGATATTGTTAAACTACCCATAGGAAAGAAATCTATTGGGTGCAGGTGGGTTTATAAGATCAACATATGGCTGATGGTACAGTAGAAAGATTGAAAGCTAGGTTGGTTGTGAAAGGTTATACTCAACAGGCTGGTGTTGATTATAATGAAACTTTCTCTCCAGTAGTTAAGATGACTACAATTAGAATTTTGATCAGCATGTATGTTAAAATAGGATGAAATTTGTACTAGGTAGATGTAAACAATGCTTTTCTTCATGGAGAATTATATGAAGAAGTGTATATGGATACACCTCAAAGACTCATGGTGGATGACACAAGGTTATTTTGCAGACTTAAGAAGTCCTTATATGGACTTAAAAAATCAAGTAGACAATGGTATGACAAGTTAACTCAGGTTTTGTGTTCAAGGGGTTATTCTCATTCAAAGAGTGATTACTCTCTATTCTACAGAAAAATTGAGAGCTCTTTGGTTTTTGTTGTTGTTTATGTTGATGATATTGTCTTGATAGGAACTGATGTTGAAGAAATCACAAGCTTATCTTCATGGTAAATTCAGCATCAAGGACTTGTGAAGACTCAAATATTTCCTTTGTCTGGAAGTATCATATAAGGATTCCGGAGTTCTAATTTCACAAAGAAAGTTCACCTTAGATTTGTTGAATGAATTTGAATGTTCAAGCTACTCACCAGTTACATCACCTCTTGAATCTACAGTCAAGCTCAAAGCAAGTGAAGGTTTATTGTTGAGAGATCCTACATACTACGGAAAGTTGGTAGAAAGTTGAATTTCTTAACTAACACAGGAATTGACATATCATTTAGTATCCAACATCTTAGTCAGTTTCTTCAGAATCTCAGAGAACCACATCTCAAGGTTGCATATCATGTTTTAAGATATCTAAAAACTGATCCTTGTTTGGGTATATATTTGTCCAACAGCACAGTTTGTTCAATAACTGCATATTATGATTCAGATTGGGTTGCATGTCCTGATACAAGAAATTCAGTAAGTGATTATGTAGTTTTAATGGGAAACAATCCTTTTAGCTGGAAATCCAAGAAGCAAACAACTATATCTTTATCCTCAGTAGAGGCAGAATACAGAGTAACTAGAAAAGTGGTGGGAGAAAGAGTATGGCTTGAAAGGTTGTTGACAGAGCTGAACTTGACATGCACCTTGCCCATATCTGTCTTCTGTGATAGTCAGGCAGCTATCCACATAGCCAAGATTCCTGTGTTTCATGAGAGAACGAAACACATAGAGGTAGACTGTCATTTTGTGAGAAACAAGTTGCAACAAGGTCTCATTGCACTCCATTACATTCCTACTGAAAATCAGCTGGCAGATGTTCTAACTAAAGCCATGCCAAATATTCAACATTCCAAGATATTACACAAGTTGTTTGTGAGCTTCCCACCTACAACTTGAGGAGGGGTGTTGAGATAAATGCTATTATTGTTCAAATTGTAATTAGACTGAGTTGACAAATTAATTATATGATTGGTTAGTTAGTTAAGCTTTGGGATTAGTGTGTCAAGAAGTTAGTTAGTCTAAGATTCTAGATTCTTCTTGGTTTTTGATTGTGTATATATAGATTATAGTTGTCATGAAGTTAGTTCAATTTTTCATTCTCTTTTAATCACACATTTTGTTCCTCTTAATCACACATTTTGTTCGTCTTGATCTTCATCTTCAATATCAGATTTCAATGCATATTGTTCATCAATGGCAGAATAACTTCTCCAATTCTACTTGATTCAATATTATTTCAATAAATGCTAATAATAATTAATAAGGAAATATATAGTTTGTCATGAAGATTTTAGAATAGAAAATAACCAAAAATTTCAAAATTCTAACAAAATAGCTAAATAGTCATTTTGGCCATTGAGACATGTGACATCATCATTCTTAGATTAAGATTTATATTACCATATAGATTTTTAAATATTATTATACATTGATAAAAATCAATCAGATAAGTTTAATTTATTATTTTGTAAATAGTGTATATTAACTTACAATAAATTGAATATTCAACAAGCAATAATTTATGCATTTTTACATAACTAAATTCTACCTAACTAAGAGCTTATTTGACATTGTTATTAGAAGACCAGAATCAATTATTTTGAGTAAAACACTTATATTTTATAAAATGAGGTATTTGATTAATCAATAAATACATAAAAATAGAAGCAGTTTTTCTACTGTTGGGAAGAAGCTAAAATTTTCTATTTCCTCTGTCCCTATTTAGTTGTCCACTTTAAAAGTTATACACATATTAAGACACCAATGTTTATCATAGATTAGTTATAATTACCCTTAACTTAAAAGATTATGCAACTACCAAAGTATAATAGATATATTTCTAGTTTCAAAAAGCATGCATTAAACCTTAGTAGTACTAGAAATTTTTTAGAATTAAATAAGACATATTAGGAAAAAGATTGTTATCCTTTCTTGATTTGTTGAAATGGATAACTAAATAGGAACAGATATAAAAAAAAGGGAAAAGGGTCAAATATGCCCTTGTACTTTTCGAAAAGGTTTAAATATGCCCTCCGTTTAAAGTTTGGTCCATTTATACCCTCGCCGTCCAATTATTGGTACAAATATA